TCAATTGATATTTGCCATATTAGGAATTAAAACCTTGAGCACTTAAATATTTGTTCATTAAAAAAATAATAATGAACTCATTACCTGCTAATATAAATGACATATTTTATGAAAAATAACTGTTTTCTAAAAGAAAGTAAATTAGTAAGAAGATTAGCAATGCTTTATATTTTCACAGATCTCTTTAATAGTTGGCTCGGTAGAAGACAGCTGGATTCTCCTATCAGCTCTGCATTCAATCTTTTGTGATACCACAGAACATGTATTCCCTGGGGAATTCCACTGTACATGTGTGACAGGACAAGAGAGAAAAGGGGTTAATAATATCTTAGTACTATTATGAAAACTGTTTCGACCCTGGTCATACCTGAAAGGGTCTTACATAATCCCAGGGGTTCCTGGACCATACTTTGAGAATCACTATTTTAAAATAATTTTTGAGGGGCACCTGGGTGGCTCAGTCAGTTGAGCTTCTGCCTTGGCTCAGGTCATGATCTCAGGGTCCTGGGAAGGAGCCCCGCATCGGGCTCTCTGTTCAGTGGTGAGTCTGTTTCTCCTTCTCCCTCTGTGATCTCTCTTTCTCAAATAAATAAATAAAATCTTTTAAAAATTAAAAAAAAATAATTTTTGAGATGTGCTTTTGTTTTCAAATAAAATTTATGGGTTTTAGACATCACTATTTTAACGGGTTTTGGTGATGCCTTCCACTTCTTTTATAACAAAATTTTGCTGGTTTTGTTTTCTTAATTAACTTTGATTTCTTAATTCTTTTATTGTAGTACATCATCAAATAATTTGTCCTAGAGAGTGTGTCAGTAAGAATGGAGTAGATTATTCTATTGCAACAATGATTCCAAAATCTCAGTGGGTCACTGGCCTCTGCTTCAGGGAACCCTCACTTTGGACTCTGTCTTTGGCTGATGAGTAGCTGCCATCTGAAATGACATCTGAAGTGACAGCCACTGTAACAGAGGAGAAGTGAGCATGGCTAATCAGGGGTTAGCTTGGAATTCTGCCAAAGTGATACCTATCAGTCCAAGGAGGCAGGGAGATGCAATCTTGCCTTTGCCCAGAAGTAAAGAACATGGCATTGAAAGTTGTGTGACCGGGACGCCTGGGTGGCTCAGTCGTTAAGCGTCTGCCTTCAGCTCAGGTCATGATCCCAGGGTCCTGGGATTGAGCCCTGCGTGGAGCCCTGCCTTAGTGGGGAGTCTGCTTGTCCCTCTCCCTCTGCCCCTCCCCCCGCTTGTGCTCTGTCTCTCAAATAAATAAATAAAATCTTTAAAAAAATTAATGAAAATTGTGTGACCAACACAGATGGTGCAGGAGTGAAATATTTTCTGAGCCCTTGCACAACTATTTGTTTTAATTGAAGTTTGGTTGACACACGATGTTACATTAGTTTCAGGTGTACATTTTGCTCTGCTCGGCACAGTGCACTTTGCACAAGTATCTTGCCTTCACACATGAATAACTGAACAGGATGTATATTTTTTAGTCATTTCCTTTTACCTCTGAATCTATAGATCTGCATAACTGTTTTAGACATTTATGGTTTTAAGTTTAGTTGGTTGGTCCCCCCACCATTTTATACCTGCTATGTTCTGGGAAAATTCTCTTCTTATTTACAACCATTTTAACTACCTTCTTTCTTTTCTTTTTTAATTTTAGCAACCATTTTAAATTTCCAGGCCTGCTGTCTTATTATCTGATCTTTTCTTCATGTCATCCTGGACAAAATACATACCCCTATCCGTATGACAATATATTTGTTTTTTGGAAACTCTTTTCTGTCTCCAGCACCGTGTTTCTGTGTATGCTGGGGTAATTTTTGTTCTTTGCTCATCTGGGTTCTACTCCTTCCTGTGATAGGTTTGCACAAATGCGTGTAGCCTCTTGTTTGTTCCTACTTAAAGGCGAGGCACTCACGAGCTAGTTTTTAACTCCCTTTAATGAGGTGGGCTTGAAAACCTGTGGTCTTGGCTGCGTGAATCCCAAATGCCTGAGGGTGAAGGCCTTTTTTTTTCCTGAGTCATCTATATTTTTCTTAGGAAGCAACCTCTAGTCTCTTGCCTGGATGTGGGTGCGCTGCATGGGGGCATCAGAGGGGAGCAGATCATTTAGTATTTTGCCTTTCAATTAATCCTGCTGGTTTATGCTTGTGTCTCCCTCCCAGGCCCCTCTGCCTCTCAGGGGCTGCAGGACATTCTGGACCCTTTCCTCACCCCTGGGATCCTTGGCCACCAGCGATAGCAGTTAGCACTCAGACCACTTTTGCTCTTTCAGACTTTGGTTTCAATTTCTCACCTAATTCCCTTCCCTCAGTTATAGTGCCTTTAATTCCTTTACTCTCATTTTAGGGAGCCCTCTAGTCTGAGGGGAGCAAAGCATTTGTCTTGGGTCAACTATCTTTAACCAGAAGTCTTTTTCTTTTTCAAAGGAATTCAGGGAAGGAATGGGTTTCATTCTGTTCTAATGCATATGTATAATGGGAAGTCCTAATGACTCTCTTAATATGGGATAGAAAAATCTTGCAAGTGTTTACAACTTTTAGAATTACAGAGAAGTTTATCAAGACATTATCAGCCAGGGGAATCATTCATCGAGTAAGAATCAGAATTACAAAGCTTTTTGCCTTTAAAAATTACTTTTCCCAGGCTTGACCGTAATGTTTGGAATCCAGGGGTCTTACAGGTCTCCACGTATAGATAACACTTACATGGGCAGGTTTAGATACATAACAACGAGCCATACTTTTGAATATACACACAAGTCTCTATATTAGACCAGAGAAAAACATATATTCTCGTGACTGTTAATTGAAACCTTACGGGAGGGGCATCTTTGACCTAACTTTACCATGTGGTATGCGATTCTTGCCCCTGCAGTTGCAGATGGGTGCGAGAGATCTACCTCTTGCACACCTTCCTTGAGATTTCTTCTATTTGTTGTTCACTAAGAAGATTTGCTGCTCAATTGTTCTACACACTCAACACCCATGTCTTATTCAAACTTCCCCAAATCCTATAAATGGATACTATTACTACTCCTGTGTCACATCAGGCAACTGAATCTCAGAAAGTTGGCCAAGGTTAGTGCAAGTAAGAAGCACAGCCAGGATTTGTACTCAAGTAATCTGCATCCAGAGCCTGCACTTGCCTTTGTGCACACTCATTATGAAATGGGCAAACTGAACAGGCTTTTGCAAAACTATACCTTACTGTACTTGTTTATGATACCACACAGTGGGGTCAACGAACAATCTGGAATAACCAAAAATGATCTTGCTCTGTCTAATAGAGGCAAACAGATTAGGGAACATGTTAGACAGGAGAATGTGAGGAAAAGTTCTTAGAGGTGATAACCAAGCTATTCTTGAAAAAGAGTAGGATTTTTTTCTAGGCAGAGAATATTCAGTTTAGAATTCTGCTTACAGGATACTGTGTAGCAGAATAGCATTCATTACATGGTTTCACCTAAGTCCGTGATTTTGAGAGAGAGAGAACATGAGCAGAGGGAGGAGCAGAAGGAGAGGGACAAGTAGACCCCACACTAAGCCTGGAGCTTGATGTGGGGCTTGATCTCACCACCCGAAGATTATGATCTTAGTCGAAATCAAGAGTTGGCTGCTTAACCGACTGAGCCACCCAGGTGCCCCAACTGTCAGTAATTTTAATCATATAATATACAATGGAATCTCAAGAAACACACCAGACAGAACAGGATAAAGGGAAAGAACCCTGGGGCACAGTTCGAGAGAACTTTTCTGCCTTGATGCCAGATCATATGTGCTACATGTATTCTTTTAACTGCAGAAAATACTTCCTAATATAGGCGAAAACAAAATTAAGTGACTTTACAGCCATAGTGACTGAAATTTTGAAGTATGACAATACTTACGGTCTACAAAGGTACAGAGAAAAACTCTCGTGAAATCTTGGCAGGACTGTAAACTAATCAATCATTTTGAAAAAGAGCTTGGCAACTTGAAAGTTTGAAGGTAGTATACCCAATTACTCTACAATTCACTTCTAGGTACATAAGCTAAAAAATTCTTGTTATGTGCACATAAGGCACATAAGGAGATATAAACAAGGATGTTCACCAAAATACTGCTCATAATAACAAAAAATTGGAATAGACCTAAACATTTACCAGTAAAGGATTAATAGGTAAATATTATCCATATTTATATAAAATATTATTACACAGCAATTAAAGTGCACTGACTTGACTTAAAAATATCAATATGGACACATTATAAATACAATGATACATGGAAAAAGGCAAAAAAAATCAGGCATACCTTGTTTATAAAAAAACCTTGCTGTTCAGTGGTAGATTCTGAAATATTATCTTACTTGGTTTTTATTTTTTTTGTCTGTGAACTTCTTTTAAAAACAGTCTGTGTTAGTCAGGGTTCTCCAGAGAAACAGAAAAGACAAAACATGTGTGTGTGTGTGTGTGTGTGTGTGTGTTTGTGTGTGTGTATAAAAGAGATTTATTATAAGGAATTAGCTTGAGGGCGCCTGGGTGGCTCAGCTGGTTAAGTGTCTGCCTTCAGCTCAGGTCATGATCCCAGGGTTCTGGGATGGAGCCCCATGTTGGGCTCCCTGCTCAGCGGGGAGTCTGCTTCTCCCTGTACCCCCAGCTCATGCTTTCTCTTGCTATCTCTCTTTCTCAAATAAATAAATAAAATCTTTAAAAAAAAGAAAAGAAATTAGCTCACAAGAATATGGATCCTGGCAATTCCAAAATCTGCCATGTGGGTTGGCAGGCTGGAGCCCCACAGAGCTGATGGTGCAGTTCCAGCCTGAAAGTGGCCTATTCGTGAGTTTTTTCCTACACGGAGACATCAGTCTTTTTTTTTTTTTTTAAGATTTTATTTATTTATTTATTTGACAGAGAAAGACACAGCGAGGGAGGGAACACAAGCAGGGGGAGTGGGAGAGGGAGGCCTCTTGGAAACTCAGTGTTTGTATTATGTCTTTGTTTCTCAGGATGTTCACAGGGAACCAGAACCCAGAAGACCAAACCCCAGAGGAGCAGGCTTTCTATGAGTTTATTTTTAAGCTCTTCAAAGAGAATAAGGTGGAGATCGCGAGTGCAATAAATAAGCCATTTCCTCTCCTTATGGGCCTCCGAGACCGTGGCTTTATCCCCGAGCACAAGTATCAAGTAAGTGAGGAGACTTTCCTTATCATACCCAGCTCCACCGATGCTATGCCAGACTGCAGGGTGCAATGAATCGGCCCAGGGGCCTTCTGTGGGTGGAGACTGCCACCATCCTATAAGTTAGGAGGTGACAGGAGAAACAGCGTCACAGAAAACATTCCTTCTTCTGTAGGAAATGTGGGGGGAAGGGCATGGCAGTGGAGATGTAGCTGGATAGGGACCGGGGTTGCTACATAGCTACAGTGCATCTTAGGTACATTTATACAGTCGGGGAACAGTAACTAAAGGCAAATGAATGAACTGGGCAACGTTTCATTACAAAGCCCTCTTATTTGACACACCTGAACCTGAGATGATTGAAACTCACAGGCAAGTTGGGTCACGTTAGGATAAATCCAGAGGCAAATGCTTGCTGCTCTCTGTCCAAATCATTTCTTGCTCCTTAGACAGTTCTGGAGGTGAAGGTTAATGATGGGTCTTCCTGGGGACACTGAAGACAAGCCTTCTCTTTGTCTTTATGAATTTTCTTTGCCCTTTGGCCATGTTCATTGCGGGGGAGAGTGGTCACCTGAATTCCTGGAGCCCTTCAGTCCAGGTCGGTCCTGGGGGGAGGGCAGTGGTTACTGTCGGGTCAACAGAATGGCCTCTCATTACCAGTCAGGGCCACTCTTGAAGCATCCCGGCCAGGCTCTTAAAGCCCCCACAATCATTCGACTTTGAAGCCACATTTATTCTTCAAAATTCCTCCCTCAAGTGTGCAGCAATGTCAGAGAGGTTCAAATAAGGGTCTGTTTTTGTGATGGAGGATATTTAAGAAGTCATCCAAACATGTGCGACATCCTAACACTTCACAAGAGAACAGATGGTCTGGGTTATGATCTGCATCTTCTATAACCTGTAAATCCATAGCTACATAATTCTCCATTCACTATTTTTAAGCATTTTCAAGAAGCTTGTAGAAATCATGTCCCAGTGGAAAGAGTGGTCTATGATGTGCTCAGTGAACTGGAGAAGACATTTGACAAGACAGTTCTGGATGCACTGTTCAGCAATCTTAACCTAAAGGCCTATCCTGACTTACTTGAGATTTGCAGAAGCTTCCAAAATGGTAATTATAGCTTTCAACAACTTTGGGGGATTCAAACCCGTCTCATTAATCGATTCATTCATTCAATCTTCATTAATATTTGACAGTCATTTTATTGAGCGACTGCTCCACGGCAGGCACGGACAGAATACAGTGGTGAAGAAAATGCACATGACCTGTGTCCTCATGGAACTTACAGCCAGTGGGGGTGACAGACGTTTAGCTGAGTAACCCCACAAATGATTGCTCGGCCAGGACCTGAATTTGGTGCTGAGAAATGTAGGATTTGAGTCTCTACTTTTTTTGGGGTGGGGGGAAGGCATGAATCATGTGCTTTCATAGGAAAGGGGAGGAAGCCTCTCTGTTACCTGTAGTCATGTTCAAAGATAAAAAGATTTTCTTTATCTTAGAAAATGTGTCATTTGGTGCAGTTGTGCGCCAACTCACTTCTCCAGACACACAGTGGAGAAGTCACTAGACAGGACTGGGGGAGTGGCAGCTGGGAAAGGACCAGTGGGCTGGCAGCAAAGTGTGGCTGAAAATACAGCCTGGGAGGGAGTGTTTGGAAGCTAATTTTGGGAAGGGAAGTTCTTGGGGAGTTTTGAGGGTCTGACACCCAGTGCCAAGAAATTTGAAGTTTACTATTTGGGAAATAAGGAGATAATGAAGGATTTTTAAGCAGAGAAAAAGTGAAAGAAGTCAATGTAAAGAATGGGGTGTGCTGATTTGTGAAAACCATACCTTGATTAAAAGAAAAGCTATAATATTTCCATGCTATGATATATCCAAGTCAGAAAAAGGAATAAAGGAAATCAAATACCAATCATAAATTTTAAGTCAGTATTATATGTGGAACCAGGATGGCCCAAGGTCATGGGTATGAAGGAATGGCAGTTATCATTACTGCCCACATCTCAGAGGCTCTAGTCCTCTCCATGGACTGTGGGGATCCCCTTCCTTGGACCCTAGCACCCACACCAAATGTGTTAGTTTCTGGGGCTCCCCATGCTGAGGCTCGCCGCACCCCCCGACACCCACTGGGAGGTTGTTGCTGGTGCTTCCTAGACCCTGCTGTCCAAGGGAGCCGGGGGTCAGTGGTCCAAAGCCAAGAAGCTGGTAGGAGAGTTGTGCAACCTGCGGAGAGACACATGCACTTGGGCCACCCCCTGTGTTCTCAAGACCTCTGACTCACACAGCATTTATCCCCATGTCCTCCTCCAGAGTTTGCCTGGACAAGAAGTCAGTGTGTCCTGGGGATGGCAGAAGCATCTCTTGTGCCAATAGAGCCTTTCTACCTTCACGCCTACCCTACTGCCCTCACCCTTTAGTAGGTGCTGCCTCCAGGAGGTGTGCTCCCATCATCAGTCTTTCTTGGTCAGCGTCTTTCTCTATTTCTTGGATTTTTTTCCCTCATGTTTTGTGAGTCTTGCTTTTCCATCTATCTTCGGTTGTGTTGCCTTGCAACGCAGCTGTGAAGCAGGGTGCCCTGGGCTGCTTTCCTGCACTTCTTGTTACCACATCCTGGGTCCCTGGTAACAGCTATGATACTCACTTTCAGTTGGGTCTTTCAAGCGGTATTCACTTCTTGTTTGTGCCTTACAGAGCGTCTTTTTGTTGTTGTACCCTGTACCTCTCCCCACCCATCCTACCCCAGGAGAATGCACGTTCCTCTTCACTGTTAGGTTTTTTGTAACCAGATCATCTTCCTTCCCTAACCTAAGGTCCCCTTCCTCCCTCCCTCCCTCCTTCCTTCTTTCTTTCCTCTTTCTCTCTCTCTCTCTCTCTTTCTTTTTCTCTTTCTTCTCTCTCTCTTGTTTCTTTGCTTCTCTGTTTATTTCCTTTAAAACCTCCATCCTTAAAAGATGTTGGGGCTCTCTTTTTTTTTATATAAGTCTATTTCTCCATAAACTTACTGTTCTCCTGATGAAACCCCTCTTCTTCTTCTCTATTCCTAGTTGCATGTAGAATTTACAAAATACATTCCATATATATTACTTATTTTAAATTAGCTTTCATTGTTCTAAAGAGTTCATTGAACTATTTACAACTTTTCTACCGTCCATCCTTTCTTAAACCTTGTGAGATGTATGGCAGCATCAGTCTCTGGTCCCATGAGACATGCTGAAGCCCAGGGTTCCCTGAGGGCTGGAAGGCTCCCGCTCAACTGCCGGAGTCAGGGGTGAGCCAGGTATATAGTTGTGAGAATAAGCTCCTGGTCACCGCCAGAGGTCTCTAACTGCCTTTCCTTCCTCTTCCCAGTGATTTATGACAACTTCCATTATGAAGCCATTGATGAAGAAGAGACAAAGGAGATGCTCCACTTACAAATACCCCATGAGCTAGGTACCTGTGACTCCACAGAGACTTATTCTCTCATCTGCTGAGAGGAAAGGCGAGGAGAGATCAGGGGGGCCGAGGTCCTGGGTGGAGAGTGCCCCCTGGGGAGGGGTGCAGAAAGAGACAGTGGGGATGAGATGGGGAGCCAGGCCGGTGGTGGGATGTATGGGATTCTAACTAACCAACCAGTTGTGGAATCCAAAAATGCTGCCAGGCAGATAGGACCACTCAGAAGATAGAACAGGAACCCACAAGAGCAGATCTTACTGTGACCATGAGGCACAATTAAGGGGAAGAGCTGACAGTGGTAACTGTGAGTTAGGAATTCAGTGGATCTGGGAAGGGATGAGGTTTGGCACCAGGTGGCAGACCCAAAGAGAAAGCCAAGAAGGAACTGCTGCAAATGCTTCCCATAGTAAGAGAAAAGAGAGGGAGATAGAGTAGTAATTGTGTGCAGAAGAGAACATGGAAGGAGTGGCGCTGGGTAGAAAGAAAGAGAGGGGCCCCAGGGTGGCTCAGTCGGCTAAGCATCTGACTCTTGATCTCAGCTCAGGTCTTGATCTCAGGGTCGTGAGTTCAAGCCCCGCATTGGGCTCCATGCTAGGCATGGAGCCTACTTAAAAAAAAGAGAGAGAGGAAAATGGAAAAGAGTGTAAGGGGGAGAAGAGAATAAAGGGCAGTAATCACAACAGTGACGACAGTAGCAACACCAACCTTTCTCAGACCGCTGGGTGTAAGGTCAGCCCTTCCCGTGAAGCAACTTTTCTATTGCTCATAAATGAACTATGTACCCTCGTAACCAATAGCCACTGTTTCCAGCTTTTCAATCATCCTTTTGCTCATATTATTACTAATAACTGATCATTAAATTATAATGCCTACAGCATTAATACTGAAAATTATGATTTCTTGCTAAGTTATTCTAACCCAGATATCCTTTTACAAGTACTCCTCATTATAACCCTATTATAAGGGTTTGTTATTCCCACTTTCCAAGGGAAGAAACGGAGGCGTGAGGATAGTTAGTGATTGTGCAAGGTCACATGACTGGTCTAGGACTCGAACCTTCTCCCACACACAAGTTAAGGGCAAACATGCTGAGACCTCACTGCCGGGCTTCACATCTGGCTCTACCTCGGCAACTTACTTATTTTCTGTGTTCCAGTGTGTAAATTGAAACTGTCAATCTCTATATCTATAAATCTGTATATCTAAAATAAGGTTGTTGTGAGTGTTGTTCAAGAGTCCGATGTACACTGAGCAAAAGAAGCCAATCACAATTGAGTACATGCTGTGTGACCCTATTTATGTGAGCGTCAGGACAGACGAGTACAGTTCCAGAAAGGAAAGGCTTAATTAATGGTGATAAACATCAGAAGAGTGATCGCTTACAGTGGGCAGAAACAGACTTGAAATCAGCACATGGGAACTGTCTGCCATGGTGGAAATGTTCCAAGTGTTGAAAATGGCTAGTAAGCACCACTGCTTCGTTAGGAGAACAGCTGTTTTACCTTTCAGTTAGGTGCATCACAATGAAAAAGAGGTGAGCAAGGCTTTGGTGAGCCCCAGGTGGGGTCCTTGGAGCTTGGACAGCAAAGTTCAGCTTCAGCACACAGAGGTCTCTTCCCTGGTCACTGTCTGAGTCCTGCCATTTTCTTGTCCCCTTTTCAGAGTCCTGTGAACCCTCACCTCTCCGAATGAATAGTGTCAGAACACTGGAAGAGACACCCAGCTTACTGCCTTATGAGGGACCAGGTAACTATCACACAACTTACAATTCTGTATTAAATCTTTGTTTTCTTGTCTTTGCGGGAGCAAAACTTGCATTTTGTCTCTGATCCCAGGCTTCTGCTAGTTCTTCCTTCTATCTGCCCTTACCTGCCCACAGATGTGACAGAGACTATGAGAAAAGGAGTCTGAGCTCCTCAGTAGAGAGAGTACTCATTGTTGGAGAATATAGAAACAGAAAGAGGAAAAGATAGCTAGGGGTAATATAGGACAAATCACACAAATGGATCCAGTTTTCCAAAAGGAACATAAACTCCTACCCTCAAGGGTGGGGAAGGGAGACAATTTTCAGTTAACTTCAGAGACCAATTGAAAGGAATTTGGAGGTAGTATGCCATGTGTGTCCATGTGGGAGACTGTCCCCCTGTAGCTGGCCAGTGGGAGGTCCCTCGTACTGTAGTCAAAGCCCTGAGTGCTGGAGACAGTGAGAGAGGGGAATCAGGAGGACACCAGCGCTCAGAGAGACAGAAGGTCAAGGTAAAGTGGGAGAAACGGTGATGGACAGGGAAGAAGAGGGAGACGTAGCAGAGAGGAGCTAAACTGAAAAAATGCCTCAAGGATCAGAGGTAAAAATTGAGAGAAAAGCATACAGAAAGAGCAGTAAGGAGTGGAAAATAAATACTAGGATGTGGGGAAAGCTGGGGAGGTGCAAAGGCAAACTACGGAGAGAAGCAGAACAGGTGGAAACTAGGGGAAGGGCAAATGGGGGACAAGGGGGAGAGGAACAGGTTGGGACGCTGCAGGTTCGGGGCCAGAGCCCTGGATAGAAGCACCTTTGGGCACAAGGGCCAACAACATTAGGTGTGGGTTTCCATATGAAACTGTCCCTAGTTATCAAAGTGGCCCTTACAAAATGTCAGATTGCAATAGGCCTCTCCCCCAATATTCCAGTGATTCCCAAGACCAGATCTCCACCCCAGATCATCTTCAGAGCTCATTTATCCATGGACCTGAAGGCAGGGGTTGGATAGGTAACTACACTGGAGTTCTTTCAAGAGCCTTAACCTTGGCACACCCTGAACTGAGAGCATTGTTCATTCTTCACTGTTCAAGCTAGATCTAACCCCTCAGTGTTCTTTCCCTCAATGATAGATCACTGTTCATCCATGTTTTTTTCAAGTTGGAAACGTAGAAGTTGCCCATGACTCCTCTGGCCTTCAATTACATGCCTGTCTCTCCTCCAACGTGGTCATTTCTCCTTCAGAATATCTCCCACCTGTCCATCTGTCCCGTCCCCAGAGTCGAGTCTCTAATCCATGTCTCTGTCACTATCATGGCTCTCAGAGGCCGCCTTCTGCCTCCCTCCTCCCTCTAAACTTACTCCCATTAAGTGCATTATTTGCACTTCAATTAACGGGGATATTTGAAAATAAAAATTAGATTGTATTATTTTCCTACTTAGGAACAATAAGAAGTATTTCCTACTTCTTAATACACCAAGGATTAAATAAAAGTTTCTTTCAGTGGGGTCCAGGGTGGCCCCCACAATAAGCCACCTGCCTACTTCCTCAGCCTCATCACCTGCCTGCTACACTATTAATTCAAGATAGAAGAGAATTTCTTCCCCAGTGATTTTAATTGTTAAATATCTCCTTCACATCTGAATCTTTTCATGTGCCTTATTTAGAACTGTCTTTCTGTTCCACTGCCCTCTACTTTCATTCCTCCATTCTGGTTAAATCCCATTTAACACAAACCACCTCGGGGAGGCCTTTCTTTAGAGAAAGCTAGACAGGAATAACTGAGAGACAAAGGGTAGGAGAGGAAGGGCAGTATCAGGGAAAACAAGGCGGAAAGTCGCAGGAACGGAGAACAAGAGAGAAACACACCAAGAGAAAGAGAAGCTCCAAGAGGCAACAGCAGAAACTGAGGCAGGGAGAAATTAGATTTACAGAATCAAACAGAAAAGGAAAGAATAGAAAAAGGATGATGTGTAAGTAAGAAGAGGAAGATTTTCCCATGGTGGGTGAATTATTCTCAGCCTCTAGGGAAAGCTACTGAAGTGACCATAACCTCAGGTCAAGTTGTCTTGGGGAATGGGGCATTCCAGTTTCTCAGGCTTTCTTGGTTTTTCTTATTTTCTTGCTATGCTATTTTCTTGGTCATAAATTGAGCTGTCTGCGAGATTTCATTCCTTTCTGCGGAGGATAGCAAGGCCTGTTGGGAGACCAGTGATGATGAAGAGCCTCAGGAAGCCTGTGCTCCTCACCCAGATGTGAGCCCAGCAAAGAAGGGGGGAGGTTGCCAGTGTTGAGCTGCATGATATCAGGCAGCTGAATTTCAAGCTGGTGTTTCCTGATGCATTTTACTCTGAACACACTCCATGGTGAAAAGATTCAGTGTGTTCTGGAATCCCATGAATCACATAAATGTTCCCAAGTGCACATTTGGGGAGAGATATGCTGAAGAAGGGGAATGTCTTTCATACCTATTCATAGTAAAGACTTGGATTTATCCCCACCAACCCTTTAGCTTCTCCAGAGAATAAAAACTAAGCCTTATCCTAATTATTGATAATGTTATTATTTTGTGTCTAATTTTGGAAAAAGCCCAAGAGAAACATGGTCATACTTCAGATCAACTGCTCTCCACTCTAAATTATAATTTTTGTCAAATGGTTTTTATTATGTTACTGTGATTTCTCAAAGAATTTTGGCAAAGAAGATGTCATTTCATCTCCACAAACTTATGCATTTAGGGAGACAAACTGTTGCTTCTTCCTATTTTATAGATAAAGAAATAGAAGCACTGCAGTGTATAGGGGTCTTTTACCAGGTCAAAGTAGTTACATAAGTGGAGGGACCGTGGTGATGGTCGCGTGGGGCTGGCAGAGGGTCAGGGTGGCCAGGATCACTGAGGCAGAGTTCACACCGGGGAACCCAAGAGGTGTTCAGGTACCCAGGCCAGTAGATCAGGGCCCAGTGCAAGAAGGCCCTCATCCAACAAATATATTTCAGTAGTGAGAACAGGGAAAGGCAGACAGAGCTGGTTGGATTGGGACTTACCATGTGGAATGCAAGAGATCTGAGGCAGGAAGTAGGAAAACTGACAGAGAGCGAGGAAGAGCCATGAAGGAGAAAAAGCCCAAGAGGGAAGCCCAGGGATTCATGGAAATGTCCAGTCCTTCCTGGTATAGAAGCAACAGTGTGTGGTGACAGAACAATGAGATGGAGAAAGGAGGTGTGTGAAGGATAACAGAAGAAGAAGAGACAGAGGGAGGCTGTGGTAGGTCTTAGGCGAGGTCCTTTTTCCCAAGGAGAAGCTCACCTGAGCACTGAATTCAGCATGAGGTTCCTGAGGTCTGTTCCCTTATCGCTATGTCTGGTTGGTCATTTCTGCATTTTCCTTCAGTTTCCTGTGAGCACAAAGCTCTCCAAAGGACGAATGGAGGCGATTTTGAAGAGATACCCGAACGGCCACCAGGCGATGGGGGAGGTAATTATGGTTTAAATGACCAATTACTTCATTAAATTTGTTTGTCTGACTGTATGCAAGGGACAATTTCTTCCCATCCCCCAAACACAAATACACACTTTGACTCAGCCTCTGCTTGCTTTCCTCAGGTGTGTGGGAGGCAGGGGGGAAAGGAGGCTAAGCACCTTAATGGAAGGGCTCTAGGGTGAAGAACTGAAGGGCACAGAATAATAAGAATGTAGACTGGGGGCACCAACGGAACTGGCGAAGTAGGCCCCATCTTATCTAAATGTATATGGACTATAACACCACCAGGTCAGGGTTTGGGAGGGGAGAGATAATCTTAAACTTACTTCCCACGAATTGCATAGGATTAATGAAATACTAAGTATAGCAGAGAGAAAGTGAGGTAAGAGAATAAATAGGGAGATAATGGAGCAAAGAGATGAAGAACTTCCTGGAGGAGCAAAAAGAGCAAAATGCAAACAGATTGCAGAAGTCAGGGAGAGTAAGTCATGGTCAAAGAGACCCACAGCTTCATGGTGCAGGTGCAGCAACATGTGGAGACAGGGTTCGAGGGAGAAGAAGGAAGGAGAGGGAAGGAAACAAGGTGCTAAAAAAGGCAGAGCAAGTTCAGTGGGTATCAACATACTTTTCTTCCTGAGGAGCAGTTCTCCTGTTCTCTGAACATCAAGCTCCAATGCTTTCTGAGCGTTGGCCACATCCAGGCAGAGTCCAGGCCAACTAACTGTCTATCATGTTTCTGTTTCTCTCTTCAGTGTCCTGTGAACAGGTAGTTCTACAAAGGGATGACAGAGAAGAATCAGAAGAAATGCCCAGATTACTACCTTATGATAGAGAAGGTAATTAGGATTCAAATGACCTGTTATCTAATTAAAACTTTGTTTTCCTATGAATATAGAGGGACACCTTCTTCCATCCCTTCCCTAGTCCCCTTCCATCTGTCCATCCATCCATCTATCCATCCGTCCATCCTTCCACCCATCCATCCATACATCCATCCTCACATATTCACATAGACAAACTATGCCCAGCTTCTGATTGCTTCCCTTGAGAGACACAAGCAGTGAAGGATGATCTCAGACTGGTTGGGTTTTCCCTGGGTAGAGAACACAGACAAAGAGAAGAACGAAAAATATAGATGGAGTCATGAAATGAAGAGAGACCAAGGTGATTGACAATTCTACTTAAATAGACATGGAGTCTAAATATAACCATGTTATCAGGGAGGGGAGATAATTTCCAACCTGTTTTCCCTGAGGTTGTGCCAGGAACATGGGCATAATGGGTATAATTTCAACACAGAGAACTCACGTGAGAGAGTTTTGAAATGGACCTGGCAAAGGGAAGGATCCTTGCTCATTTGCCAATGGCCACAGTCCAGAACATTGATGATATGGGGAAGGACTATGGATGCGGACGAAATACGCAGAAAGTCTGAAATTTAAATTTTCAGTTTTAATTCTTAGGTTGAAAAATTAGAAACAGAAAGTTAAGAACTAGAGAGAACAGATAGAAGCAGGGAAATGAGCACCATGGAAGAAAGGAGATAAACTCCATCATCTTAGACAGGTAGAGAACATGATGTTAAGTGAGAAATGCGGGGGCGGGGGTGGGACACTAAGGAAAAAAAGGGTGGGGGAGGGGCACAAAAGTTATAAATCGAGAAAAAAGAGATGAGTGAAAATTCAGCAGAGATGAACACTGTACAAGGGATAGAGAAGACAGTTTGGGACATTGTAGGAATTGAGAGAAGAGTTATTCGTCAGAAATAAGCCTGCCACTAAGGGTGGAACATGTCAGCCATGGGTTTTCAAGTTATGACGTCCCCAGTTATCAACATGGCACCTGTAATATTCTCAGAGGCGGTGTCTGCTCCCATCTATAACTTATGATCCCCAAACACCTGTCTGGCACAGACTTGTCTTCTAACCTCATTCATCTGAGGGCCCGAATACAGTTGTGCAGAGGGCCTAAAGGACAACTCCATTTGGATGTTTTTCAGGAACCTCAGTATAAGATACCCACAATTGCACATACCATGTTTCTTGACACCAGATCTGCTCCTTTCCCGGTATTCCCTATCTCCATACAGAACACCATTGTTCCATTCCTCAGGCAGAAATTTAGGGGTCATCAGTGACTCATCCCCCTCCCTCAACTCACATAGCCCATCAGTCATCCAGATTAGTCAGCTATATATCGAACTTGTCTCTTGCCTGTCCCCAACACAAACACTCTGGTCAGATGTCTCTTCTCTCTGGAACCAGAGCAACAGCCTCCAGTCTCATATCTTCCCCCCAGTCATGTTCCCATCACACCCAATCTCTCCAGGTCAACTAAGAGGGCTCTGAAAATGCAGGTTGGTTTATCCTACTTTCTTATATTAAGTTGATAACTTCTTGTTGTCAGAAGGATTAAATCCACTTTCCTCCCCATGGCTCCAGCCTCATGTCTGTCTGCAATTACTTCAAAAATTTGTATAAAATCTGTTCAGTAATTTTAATTATCTGATTACTCTTTCTCACCTGAGCTTTGGCACCTGCTTGGCCCTGTTTTCTTGCCCACTTGCTCACTAATCTGGTGAAATCATGCAGATATTAGATACCATCTCACAGATGCCTTTTCTGACCCCTAGAAAACAAGATAGGAGTCAGGGAGAAGAAATCAGATCAGCAGGGAAGCGTGAGGGGAAAAAAAGGAGGTGGGAACAGACATGGGGAAAGAAACAAATCAAGACAAAGAGGAGTGCCAAGAGATCCCAAGAGCGAGATACAAAGGTAGAAACAGAAGAGGCAGACACATGTGGGAAGGATTAAAATGAGAAAGAGAACAAAGTGTGGGAGACAAGGTGTGCAAGGTTTCTGACAGTTTCCATCAGATTATTGGGTTGTGGGAGACTTCCTTTTATCTTCAAAAAACCTTAAGATACAGGCATGTAAACTGTTGTAACCTCTCTTATGTGGATGGGGAAACAAAGTACAGAAAGGCATGCAGGTTATTTTTGCAGGGGCAAAGCAGAAAAGGCAGAGTGGGCAGCAGTGGGTGTGTCACTGAGGGAACAGTTGTGTGAAGCCACCTGGCAGTCAGGGCAGGGTCCTGTGGTCAGACAGAAAGAGGAAGTCCCAGGGGTCCCACATGTTCCCAAAGAAGTGCACCTAGGTCCAACATAAGATCTTCATTAAAAGAAAAACTAAGTTGGTAATTTTAGCCATTCTGACTGGTGTGAGGTGGTATCTCATTGTGGTTTTGATTTGTATTTCCCTGATGCCGAGTGATGTTGAGCATTTGTTCCTGAGTCATTGGCCATTTGTATGTCTTCTTTGGAGAAATGTCTAACTATGTGATGGGCATTAAGGAGGGCACTTGAAGTAATGAGCACTGGCTGTTGTATGCAACTGATGAATCACTAAATTCTACCTCTGAAACTAATAATACAGTATATGTTAATTAAATTGAATTTAAATAAAAATTTTTTGAGACGAGAAAAAAGAAAAACTGGGCATGGGTTTCCAAATGTTTCAACTATTTGACAACATTCTCAAGGGCCTGTGAACAGAAGAGTACTTTTAACAGCCCCTTTTGCTCTAATAGAATGTAATCATCAGTCTCCCACCTTAGTATAGGGGAATTGTTTCTAGTGTTTTTGCTGTTGGGCCTGTTACACCTCAAAAAATAAAAATTTTCTTGAGTTTAAAAAAATAAGGGAAAAACTGATGTTGGTGGGGAGAGAAAGGAAAATACTGACAGACAGCATGGTGAAGACATCTAGAGTAAGAAAGCTAGACAGGGTAACAGGAGAAAATGGATACATTATCACTGAAAGACAAAAACAAAACTAAGGCCTAAAAACAAGAGATGGGGTAGAAGCCCAGACAATGGAAGAGATACACAGCTAGGAAACAGAGATGTGTGGAGGCAGAAATGCAGGTGGGATGGTGAGAAGTGGACAGAGGAGGTGTAACAAGATGGCGGAAAGCAGAACAAGACAGTGTGGTTCCCAGGGGCAGCATGGAGCAGGCGGCTTGCTTTCCCATCCTGGTGGGCATGGACATGCTGAGGTCTGCTCCCATCACCCTCCATGATCCATTATGTCCTTGTTTCTCTGCAGTGACCTGTGATCCCAGAGTTTCCCCAGTGACTAATGAAGGAGAACTAAAGGAGATACCCGGCCTACCAACAGAAGAGGGACAAGGTAATTCTAATTTAAATTCCCAACTCCCTCAATAAACCTTTGTTTTCTGATCAGCATGGAAAAAAATCTTGCCTTTCTCCCATCCTACCATTCTATTCTTCATATTCACATACATACAGGTGAGACTGTGTCCATTTTCTGTTTTGCTTTTTTTCAAAACTGTAAGAGAGACTAAGAATAATGGTGAGCAGAGCTCCTGAGTGGAGAGGGTATCCATGCCTGGAGAACGTAGGGGGACGTATAGCAAAGGTAGGCTGGGGCACCAGAGCAGAAGGGCCTGGGTGATTTTATTAAATGCCAATAAAAACCCAAGTACCAACAGGTTATGGCAATTGAGGCAACAGCCTACTTCCGGAAGTACCAGCAATACGGGAATAAGTTTTGTGAATGATTGATAGGTTTGCACTTTAGAAGGTCCCTCGGGAGATTGTTAGCATAGAGCTGATAAGGGAAGGCTGTCTGGCGCTGTGGTCCATGCAAAAAGGGAAGAACTTCTGTCACTTTGGGAGGAAGCATCTGTGAGAATGAGGAAAATAGATAAAATAAGGGAAATTTTAAGGCATCCGGAGGAAAGACTCAGAGAAACAGAGATAGAAAAGGAGAAAGTGAGAAACAACCTGGAAAGGGTATAAGCTCACGAAGAAATGAGATATGGAGATGAAAATCAGAGAGATTATATAATAATTTGGCAAATAAATATCAAAATAATAATGTGGAAGGAAGCACAAAGGAAACTATGTAGAGAAAGAGTTATATCAAAATAATTTGAAAATCAATAAGGAGTGGAAACTGGGGAAGGAATAAGTTGGGATCTTGTAAAGCTGAAGTGCGAGTCTAGACAGGAACATCTTCCAGCAAAAAGTGTCTATCTCAGTAGTGAGTTTTTAGATTTAATCTCCCCAGGTAGAGAGTGGTGCCTGGAACATACTCAGAGACTAATAACCCTCTCCCTGGCAGTCTCAGTTCTCCCAGGTAACAGAATGAGTCTCAAGTGCCTGCCTGCTAGGGACACCTGTCTCCCAAGATCATCCCTCTGTGTACCTGAAGGCATTTATCACAGAATCCTCTCCATTTAGATGACTTTCAGGAACTGACACTTCCAAAGTTGAAACTAACAGCTTCTTCTGTGGAACTAGAAATTCCTTCACCAGAGTTTGCTCCCTCGTTAAAGAGAACACGAATGTACCATTTCCTCTTGTTTCCATTCTATCCATTTTCTCCACGTTAGCATGATTGTTATTTGCAAGATATCAATCAGATCATATTATTTTCCCACATAAACCTGTGATCTTTGTTGCCTTCGGATTAAATCAGTTGTCCTTCCTGTGGTCTTCTGTGTCTCCCATTCACCATGGGGTACCAGTCTATTGCTTCTGCCTCATCTCTCATGAGAGTGTAAATATTTTCAGTGATTGCACTGCTCTGATCTTTCTTTTATATGTGGGCCTTAGAACAAATTTTCCCTGTGTTTGGTGGTGTTGCTTTGACCTAGTCTGCTCCTTATCCCATCTCCTGATCAGGTTCTACAGTACTATTTTAGGGCTACCTCTCCTAACATAGAAGAAAGGGAGCAAGAAAAAACTGAGTGAGATAGGGAAAGGCAATAAAGACATTAAAGAGTGTCAGAGGTGCAAGAGAGAAAGAGAAGAAAAGGAGACAGAAACACATCCAAACGAAGAGAAGCACCTAGAGACACTGGCAGCAAGAGATAAAGGCAGAGACAGAAGTAATGAGCAGGGGCAATGGAAAAGGGGAAGAAGTAGAGAGAGAATTAGGTGTACATGAGAGGAGGAAGACGGTGGATGGTCCTCAGGCTCTGGTGATGGCAACAGGAGTGAGTCAACCTGCAGGCCAGGTGAGCCCAGAGATTGACCAGATGGTTTGGGACAGGGGCAGTCCCACCTAGCAGATACCTGAGTGTCCCATGTCCTCACTATGAGTTTTCCCACCATGATCTCCCCTGATTGTGTACTGAGATGACTGGGGCATTTCATTCCTTTCTGCAGAGCACAGCAATGCCTACTGGGAGACCAGTGATGGAGAAGAGCCTCAGGAAGCCTTGAGCTCCCCACCAACATGTGGGCAAGGTAAGGAAGGGATTGCCAGCCCTGGGCTGCAGGATATCAGGAAGCTGAATTCAGAGCTGAACAGCATGGCCCTTATTGTTAGAACAGATGTATTCCCTCTTCATGTTGTGGTAGATAAATACTGGCAAAGACAGTGTCTTTTTTCCTTCACATTCTTTATGTCTATTTATAGGAAGGACTCAGTATTGTGATTTTAACCTCTGCCTACTTCTTATTTTCTATAAAGAATAAAAGTTAAGTATGTATCTAGTGCTTAATATTATTATTATATTGTCATAACCTTGGGTAGGCTTCAAACAGAACATGGTTCTGTGATCTATTTGTCAGAAGGAAAGATTAAGGGCTTTCGAGCCCAAATTATAGTTTTTGTTACATTTTTGTCATCAGGTTATTGGATTATTTTGTGCTTTTTTTCTTTTCAAAGTACTTTGGTAAGTGAGATTTCCTCATAAATCTTTAGGACTTAGCTAGGGAAACTGCTGTTATTCCTCCTTAAAGAAAGACATGGAAGCATAGATGAAGGATACTTGTTTTTCCCTAAGATCAAGTAGGAGGAAGAGCAGAGACCCATGCCCTGAACATTTCATTGCAGATAGTGGCTGTGTGAGGCTAGCAGGGGTCAACGTGGTCACATGTAAGAAGAGTCCAAGGGGAGATCTGTGGCTCCCAGAGGGAACAGAACAGGGCCTAAAGCAGAGAAACTTTCACTTCGCAGATAAAGAAGGCCAGTAGGAAGGGGAAGAAATGAAGAGAGACAGTGACAGAAGGAATGGACCCTGTTTTAGGGATTGGAGAGACCTGGAAGAACAGAGCTAGGAGGAATAAGCAGGAAAGAAAAGATGAAGATCACCATTGAGGGAAAAAAAATAGAAAAGTCAAGAGACAAGAGAAGTCGGGGGAGTGGAGTCCACAAAATCAAGGATGCACAAATATTCTCCTAGTGCAGATGCGGAAATGTCTGGAGACAGATCTATGGGAAGAAAATGGAGAAGCAGAGAGTAGGAGAGTCAGGGGAAGGAGGGCTTGGTTGAATCTCAGGTGGGGTCCTTCGACTAGATGTCCCTTTTCCGGAAGGGCAGCTCACCTGTGCTCTGAACATCCTGGCTCAGCTCATTTCCTTATTTCCTTTCAGGGTCCTGTGATCCTGAAGCTCCCCAAATGATCAGTGAAGAAGAACCAGAGGAGGGGCTCAGGCAACTGCTATGTAATGCAGAAGGTAAGTATGAGTTCAGTTCCCATTTCATTAACCGAATCTGTTTTTTCTGTCTACGAGGAGGAAAATTTGCCCTGTCTTCTCCCCTCCTCCGCTGCTCCCCTTCACTTATACATACAGAAGAAATGTGTGAAGCCAAGTGAAGAGGATCAAAAAGAGAGAGAATTAGGTGTATGGGAAGGGAGGGGGATAGGTGGACCATTCTCAGCCTCTGGTGATAGTGACACGAGCCATGTTAACTCCCAGGTCAGGTGAACTCTAAGGCAGGAGGGTCTGAGGGCAGGGACATTCCCACCTGGAAGATACTTGAGCCACCTTGGTTGTCAGGGTGGGTTTCCTGCTATGATTTCTATTGGTCATATGCTGGATCCACTAAGGGATTTTATTCTGTTCAGCAGAAGGTAGCAGTGCCTGTTTAGAAATGTGTGATGAAGAAGAACCCCAGGAAGACTTGAGCTTGCCACCAGAAAGTGGATCAGGTAAGGGAGGGCAAATGGCAGGATTTCCTTTTTTTTTTTTTTAAATGGATGAATAGTATTCCATATTGTGTGTATATATATCTGTCTACCACATTTTCTTTATCCGTTCATCTGTTGATGGACACTTAGATTGTTTCCATGTCTTGGCTATTGTAAACAATGCTGAAATGAGCATGGGGGCACAGATATCTCCTTGACGTACTTATTTTGTTTCCACTGGATATATACCCAAAAGTGGAATGGCTGGATGATATGACGGTTCTAATTTTTAGCTTTTTTGAGGAACCCTCATACTGTTCTTCATAGTGGCTATACCACACTGAAGCCTTGGTGCAAATGCACCAAGGCTTCCTTTTCCCCACGTCCTCACCAGCATTGGTTATCTCTCATGTTGATAGGCTCTTTTTCTTAACATCAACTCTGCCTAAAAATGGAGGTAATATCTCATGATATTTGCAGTCCCTGGGGTCAGGGAAGGAAATCTTGAGTGGACATTGAGAATTCTGCCTACTACAATGAGACTTAAGTATATTTCTAGAAAATAACAGTCCAGACAAGCCATTGACTTTCCCAAGTAAATAATATAAGCTATTCTTATCAAATGGGACATCAAACAAAGCTGAGCATAAATATATTAAAGAAAAGAATCTGGCTTTAGAAAAGAGTTATAGTAATTAGGTTAGTTACTACAGAGAAGTGAGATATACCTACTTTGTTGATTGCCTGCAGATCTTGAATCATGCATAGTGTAGACATACTAATGTTGAGATCAATTATAAATTGATTATGTGTAGGAGAATTTTCTAAGAATTCTAGAGTTATTCTTCCTTTAGTACATTTAATCTGGTAGTTTCTTTTTTTAAAAAAAAAGATTTTATTTATTTATTGGAGAGAAAGAGAGAGCACAGGAGCAGGGGGCAAGGGCAGAGGGAGAGGGAGAAGCAGACTCACTGCTGAGCAGGGAGCATGACATGGCGCTTGATCCCGGGACCCAGAGATCATGACCTGAGCCAAAGGCAGATGCTTAACCGACTTAGCCACCCAGGCGCCCCTTAATCTGGTAGTTTCATTTACAGAATAGGTCCTTCCTATTAAATTTATAGGGACTTTTTAAAAGAAAAGAAACTGTTAGATGATGGTCTGAAAGTAGCAGTTACTGGTTGGGACATGGGAACTTTTGGTCATCTTTCTCTCTCTTTCAGAAATACTATTAAAAGCCCTGTTTACTTTTGACATGTCCAGAGTTCCCCTTTGAAACCCAAAGTTACCTTTGGTGAAATTTTGCCATTTATTAAGATAAGTGCAAGAATGTTTCTGAGAGTACAAAGAGGAAGTGGAGTTCTGTCAGTGGGAGACTGTAGCTTTGGCCAAGACACAATCATGACAAATAGCAATGAGGCCACCACATGCAGTCCTTAGTGTGAATGGTGTCCTGCAAGTGAATGGAGTAATGGGTTCATCCACCGAGCAGAGACTACAATAGGAACATATGATTGATTACATGATAGTAGTTGACCTCAGAGTATGTGCTAAACAAAATGATTTTGTTTCACAAATTGACAAAAGGTTTTGGTGAGGGATTCAAGACCAAGGGTGACCAAATATCTTTGCACAAATTAACTACTATTTAATGGACCCACATCGATTAATTAGTTTTGGATAGGGGACTTATCAGGGTTATGCCTCCTTTTAACCATTTAACCCTCCAGGGTTATTTGCTTTGGATCACTTTCTTCTAACATTCAAGGAGCACAAGAAAATCAGGAGCAATCAAACACATAAGACAAAACTTTTGAAAAATAGACAAAAGTAAGAGTAAATGAAACAGTAGAAGAATAAAAAATATTAACAGAATATTTGTTAAATGCTACACCTCCAAACCAAAATGTCTAACTACTTTGTGTCTAATTGCATATACATCTTTAAGTAACAAGATTAATTCAGAAATCAGAACTCAGTGAAACAAGTCAGAGTTCAAGTCGTTGTTGAGATGGATTGATCAGGAAGACAATCTGAGTTGGGCAAAAGAGGCAGTGGATTTATACCTATTGGCCCAAGGATCCCACAAGACATTGCTAAACAAGAGTCTTCAAGATGGGTTGGTGAGAAATCCATTTTTGGAGGGATAGACCATCATGCCATCTCTGAAGCTAAAGGAAGGATTTATTGCATGCTAAGCAAGGTGCATGGTGGAAGGAGGTATGGTATTTACCGGGCATAGTTCTTTTAAAAAGGAAATTGCTTTTAGGTAGAGTTTTAGGAAGCTTGTAGTTCAGGAACTGCAGACTTTCAGCCCCGGGGAGTGTTTATAACTAGGTTATCATTTAGTCATAGACACAGGCTTTCTGGAGTGTGGCAGATTGGCTGATTTTCAGAAGTGTAAGGCTGTCACTGATTGGCTGGCTTTAAATGTGGATAGTGATGTAAGTAGTGATGGGCCAATTGGGATGAGTTTAAAAACCGTTCTGGTAATTACTTTTTACAATTTTCAAAGAACAGTTGGTTTTTCCTGGAAGGATAAGATCTTTTTACTTTATTCTTAGGGCTACAGGTAGAAAAGTAGGAGTAAAGAAAGCAGAATGAGGTACAAAAGATGGGGAAAGCATGGCTTTGGCAGCTCTAGGTTGTGATTATTAGAGCAGGTGTAGTCTTCTCCCAGAAGGCAGTTCATTTTAGCTCAGAATATCAGGGTGCAGCATGAGAGCACCAGAAACTCTTCCCTCATCACTCTCAGGATCCACGGACTGTAATTTTCTTGCTTCTCTTTAGTATCTGGCGAACTAGAAACTCTCCAAATGAATAGAGAGGAAGAATCAGAAGAGCTTATTTCCAGCCTACTACCCTATGATGGACAAGGTAATTATGACTTAAAGAATAATAAAAAACAGAAACAGAGGCTGATAAAGAGAAAAAGACAAGGGAGGAAAAAGGGAGACTTAAAGGAAAGGCCAGAGATGGGGAGGGTCAATGGAAGATTTCAGAGGAAGAAGCAGAGAAGGGGAGATCAAGAAGGGTACAGAAAAGGGGATCCCTGGGGTAAACGAAAGTCTTCATACATCACAATTTTGGCCCAGGAGCTGAGCTACCAGCATATGGAAATAAGAAGTGTTCCTGTGTTATGTGCTTCTCAAAAGATGTGCCAGAAGGTCCAGAAGCAAGTACTGCAAGTAGCCAAGCACGTGACATGATGGGTAAGGCTACCAGAGGGTCGAGGGATGGGGGTGACTCTAGGGGCAGGGTGGTGGCAGGTGGTCCCGTCCATCCCAGTATCCTGTTCCCTGCTTTGCTTGACCTGACCCTTTTGGGAATAGTAGAGAGGCAAGAGATCATTATAAAGTTGCGTTTAACAGGATGGGCCCTGCTGATTATATATGAGTGATGTAGTAGAAATACGCTCTTAAAGATGACAGTATCTTGTTTACTACATTAGTCTACGAATAAAGATGGCAGTATCTTGTTTACTACATTAGTCTACTAATAATAAAGTCTTGTATTTATACAGTGATTTCCATCCCTGTCACACCCAATCTTCTGTGGAGCCCGAGAAAGCCAAGCATACTTCTGCTAGTAGATAACAGTGTCATTTTGTCACAACCTTAGAAAAATCTCAAAAGACAACTAGTGATGCCACTTACTTGTCAGGAGGAAAGACTATTCTTAATCTAGCACATATTTTTGATGGATGCCCTCTAGCGTGTTGCTGGTTTATCTAGTGATTTCCTGTAAATGTTTGCCCGTAAGATTTTATTTAATCCTCACAAAAAATCTCAAGACCTAGACAAAGATCCCTGAGTAAACTAAAGTACACAGGTATTTCAGTGTTTTTCCAAGTACTGTTGAGAAACAAAGGAAGACCCAGAGCCCATCCTGGACTCCTAGTTCTCAATTCAGTAGGTTTTTAGTCCCTTTAGAAAGAAGAGAGAAAGGATAACCCAAACATCTTTATAAATTCAAGTCTTCTGCAGTATGAATAATCCTAAAATTTGTAACTTTTATTTATAAATTTCTGTTTCCTCACCCTCACCTGTTATTCTCCAGATACTGTGGATCTTGGAAACAACTCTTCTTCAGGAAAACTCAAGAGGAAGAGAAGTAAGAGCGTCTAAGATTTTGCTTGCTTTCAATGTTAAAAATGAGGTTTTCAATGCTAGAGTTGCATTATTACTATTTACAATAATAAGTAATAATAATATGATGTCTGCCCAAAGATGTCCATATCTTAATCTCTGGAATTTATATTCTCTATTATCTTACATAGCAAAAGAGATTTTACAGATGTAATTAAGGTAGGGACCTTGGAAGAGGATATTGTTCTGGATTATCTGGCTACACCCAATATAATGGAGTAGCTGTTCCTGGCTGTGGAGAGAGGGGGTTGGCCATGGAAGATAGTCACAGAGAGATACCATATTGCTGGCTAGAGGAGGAGGAAGATGGAGGAAAGGAACCAGGAATATGGATGACCTCTGGAAGCTGGGAAAGTCAAGGAAATGTATTCTACTGTACAGCCTCCAGGAAGGAATGAAGGCCTACTGACCCTTGTCACTTCTAATCAACACAACTGTGAGATAATAAATTTATGTTGTTTTAAGCCACTAAATTTGTAGTCATTTGTTACGGCAGCAATAGAAGAGTAATCCAGACTTTGGTTATTGGAGGTGTAGTGCAACTGTAACGCATTCCTAAAAATGTGGAAATGGCTTTGGAATTGGACAGTGGGCAGAGGGAAGTATTTTAAGTGGAATGATAGAAAATGTCTAGATTGCCTTGAGCAGTTTGTTAGAAATACGGGGATGAAGACTCTGCTAGAGAAAGCTTGGACGTGCAGAACATGGTAGAGAAAGCCTATTTTGTCTTAGAGGACATGCAAATCATCATGAAGACTTGGTAGAAATATGGAAGTTCGAGGTGTCACTGGTGAGGGCCCTGAAGGAAACAAGGAATGTGGTTTTGGAAACTAGAGAAAAGGAGATCCTTAGTATATAGTGTCAGAAAACTTAGCAAAATTCTGTCCTGCCCATAATGTGGAAGGCCGAACTTTCTGGATAAATAGCTAAGGAAGTTTTTAAGCAAAGTGATAAAGGTGCAACTGGTTTCATTTTGCTGCTCATAGTAAAATGTAAGGGGAAAGAGGTAAATTGAAGGAAGAACTGCTTAGCAAAGGGAATCTGGACTTGATGATTTGAAAAATTCTCAGCCTTTCCAAGCTGCAAAAGGTGCTAAAATTTGGAGCTTCACTGTTGGAAAAAGTGTGGTCTGTAGTGATAACCAAGAGGATGGCCCTACAACTTTCTGCTAATGCGCCAGAAGTAGTGAACGGTCAGAGTATTCGGTCACAAGGAAGAGGTTCTTTGAAGGGATTAAGGATGTGACTCACAGATCCCCTGGGCCATGTCAGCAAAAGTAAAAACTAGGTACATGATTGTATAGGAATGATCTGTGGAAGAGTCTGTCTAATGGAGGAGATCCCCATGACATACACGAGAGTGCTATGGTCCCTAAGGATCTTCTATCAACGGACACAGGGACGTCCATGTCCTGAGTTCTGGAACCTGTAACCCGTTACCTGACATGGCAAGAGACTTTGAGGGTGTGATTAAGCTAAGGATCTTGAGATGGAGAGATTGTCCTGGATAATGTGGGTGGCCCCAATTAAGTCACACGGGTCCTTAAAATCAGAAGCCCTTTCCTGTTGTGGAGAAAGGGATATGTGATGATGGGATAATGATCAGAGATAGGCAGTGTAGCTGGTTTGAAGATGAAGGCAGGGGGCAGTGAGCCAAGAAATGTGGGCAGCATTCAGAAGCTGGAGAAAGTAAAGAAATGGATTATCCCCTATAACCTCCAGTAAGGAACAAAGCCCTGTAGACACCTTGATTTTAGCCCTATGAGACTCGTCTCAGATTTCTGACCTTCAGAACTATAAGATAATAAATTTGCATTGTTTTAAGCCACAAAGTTTATGGCAATTTATTGCAGCAGCAATAGAGAACTAACACTTTTCATAAGACCAAAAAAATTAAAAAAGGAATATTTCACCTTTATGGGTTAGATTATGTCTTTTAAAATAGTAATTTACATATTTTTCAAAATGCTCACATCTTTATTTTTTTTATTTACTTTTAAATATATGATCTTTGTTGGGGCGCCTGGGTGGTGCAATCGGTTGAGCATTGGACTCTTGGTTTTGGCTGGGGTAGTAATCTTGGGGTTGTGGGTTCAAGCCCTGGGTCAGGCTCCACGCTTAGCTCAGGGTCTGCTTGGGTTTCTCTCTCCCTCTCCCTCTGCCCCTCCCCCAATGTGCATGTGCACGTGTGCTCGTACTCTCTCTTTCTCAAATAATAAATTAATCTTTAAATATTAAAAAAAATAGGGCGCCTGGGTGGCTCAGTTGGTTAAGCGACTGCCTTCGGCTCAGGTCATGATCCTGGAGTCCCAGGATCGAGTCCCGCATCGGGCTCCCTGCTCAGCAGGGAGTCTGCTTCTCCCTCTGACCCTCTTCCCTCTCGTGCTCTCTGTCTCTCATTCTCTCTCTCTCAAATAAATAAATAAAGTCTTTAAAAAAATATATGATCTTTGTAAAGTTTAATGTATATCTTTACAGATTTTTTTCTATGCATGTATTTATTTATTTATTTTTTATTATTATGTTATGTTAATCATCTATTACATCATTATGCATGTATTAACACATTTAGAATTTTATCATAAATCTAAATAAATCTATTCATACTGTTAGATTTTCTTTACTTTAAGTCAGTATTTCATGCACAAGACACTACAAACATTTAACATTTTACCTGTACAAATTTTTATTTCACTCCTGTTTTAATTTGCATTGCTTTCACTTTTGTTGTGGTTGAGCACTTTTCAGTTATTATTGGTCATTTGTTTTTCTCCTAAAAATGCCTCGTACATGTGCGTTGCTAGTGATACAATCCTGCTGGCCTTTTCTTTTTTCTTTTTTTAACCATGCTGAACAAGCATAGGACTATTAATATATATATATTCTTTCTGGTTTGTATCCTAAGGAAGTTGGAAATTTTTATGTAGTAAACCCTGTCAGGCTTTTTCGTTACGTTTTCTAAGTTATACTTAAAATTTACAAGGATATTTCCCACCTCAAAATTTTAAAAATATTTATATTTGCTTCCAGAATATCTGAAGTACTTAATGCTTTTTAATGTTTAAATCTATAATAATTCACCTTTTTGTGTTTTATATGAGACAAAAATTTCAAGAAATAAGCCCCATGCGTTTTTCTTCATGACTTGAAATGCCCTTTTTTCTGTGCCTTTCCCTGTATTTGCGGATCTGTGCCCACACTCTACTCTGAAACATTGGTCTGTTCATTTCTAATGCATAGCAAATTGGTTTAATTACAAAGCTCTCAAGTATATTTTGCTATTCCTACTCATTATATTTTCTTTTGCAAGGAAAAAAGTAAAAAGTGCAGGGAGGAGCATCAGAAAAGAGATGTCAAAAGATCAGTAATCCTGGCTTGCTCAGTGTGGATGAGTTTTAAAATCAGTCAAGATTTTCCCCCCATCCCTCCCCGATTCTTTTGGGACCCTGATTGAAAATACATTGAACTTGCAGATTAATTTGAGTAGAATTGAAGGAGAGTGAATCACACATTTATTCAGATCATGTTCTATGTTCTTCAAAGTTTTGGTTTTCTTTCTGTAGATCTTGCACATTTTTACTTTTCTTATCAGCTTTATTGAGATATAATTTCATACACTAGCAGTCATCACTGTTAAGGGATGACTAGATGAGTTTTAACAAATGTGTTCTGTCATGTAATGCCACCACGATCATCACATGTAACATTTCCATCATCCAGTGGACCTGTGTCCGTTTTTCCACCCTCTGGCTCTTGACAACAGCTGACCTGTTTTTATCACTATAGTTTTATCTTTTCTGGAATTTCATATAAATGAATTCATATGGTATACAGACAGTATACAGTTTTTCAATATGTGGCTCTTCCACTTAGCATAAAGTTTTTGAGACACATCCATGCTGGTATGTGTATCATTAGTTACTCCATTTTTACCTCTGAGAAGTATTTCATTATATGGATATTCCACAGACCTACTCGCCCGTTGATAGATGTTGAGTTGTTTCTAGTTTTTGGCTATTGCAAATAAAGCTTCTAGGAACATGTGCATACAAATCTTTAGGTGGACATATGATTTAATTTTTCTTAGGTAAATACATAGGAGTGATAATACTGGGTCATCTGAACATATGTACGTGTTCAACATTTTAAGGATCTGCTAAAGTATTTTTTATGTTGTTGTACCTTTTTATATTCCCATCAGCAATGTGTGAAAGTTCCCATTACTCCACATATTTACCAACACTTGGTATTGCTAATCTTAATTTTAGCTATCCTCATAGGTGTGTAATGGTAATTTATAGTTTTAATTTGCATTTTCTTAATGAGTAATGGTGCTGAACATCTTTTTATGTATTTGGTTGCCACCCATAGATCTCATTTAGTGAAGTGTCTATTCAAATCTTTTACCCATACTTATTTGGGTTGTTTATTTTCTAGTTGTAAAGTTATTAATATATTCTGGATACAAGTCCTTTGTTCTTTATATACCATACAATCTGTAGCCTCTCTGTTCATTTTCTTAGCAGCGTCAAAGAACAAAATTTATTTTGAAGTCTAACAGTATTTTTTATAATCTGTGACTTTTCAGTTCTATTTAAGAAATCTTTGCTCAAGATACCATATTTTCTTCAAGACTTTGATGGTTTTTAGCTCTTACATTTAGATCTGTGATCCAGTTTGAGTTAATTTTTGCATATGGTATGAGGTAAGGATTCTTTCTTCCTTCCTTTCTTTCTTTCCTCTTTTTTTTGGCATTCAGATATCCAGTGGTTCCAGACCATTTGTGCATTGAATTAATGAGTCAATTACCTTGACATCCTTGTTGTAAGTCAGTTGCCCATATGTGTTTAGGTGTATTTTTGGACTTTCTTTTCTACTTACCTGTATGTCTTATCTTTATGCCAATACTACACCACCTCGATTACAATAGCTTTATAATAAGTGCTGAAATCTGGTAGTTTAAGAC